CCACACCAGGAGTATCCGTAATCTGGCCATGGCTGCGTCTTGCTGTCTCTCTCTCTTTCTCTCTGTCTCTGTTTCTCTTTCTCTCGCTTTTTTGGTGTAGTTGAAGATTTCTGTAGGTGTAACACGCTAGGAGTTACACCCACATCACATACCTTCGAATTAGAACTCCTCGCAGGCACTCACACTACACTTAGCACTGAACAATGAACAAAACCAAAACAAAAAGGGACGATTCTTTGAAATTGGAAAACGCAGAAACTTCTTTTTTTTAGAATTTCTTTTTCTAGGGTTCTGTCGATTTGGACTTTCCGAAGCACAAACGTTGGATGACAGTTTCTCCTGCTGGGGAAGGGACAGAGCGAGGCACCGCGACCGACTCCGCGGCGCAGGGAGAGAGAGACAAGAACACGCGACTCCAACTCCTGGGAAACCTCGAGGGGAACTGGCACTCACTGTCCGCTATAACGAATAAAAATAATCGTCAAAACGGAAGGATCTCGACTTGAGGCTGGCGCAGTGAGGAGGCTTCGAGGGTGCGGGGTGGGGGGGAGGGTGCGGGCGTGAGCGGCGCCCACTAGTAACCAGGCCCGACCAAGGGACGAGTGGCGCCCTGCCTGCACCTCCTGGCGACGGCTCCACCCCAAGGTCGTGCGGGGACAATTTCTGGGTATCATACCGGAGAGGGTTTGGCGCTTATCCTAGGACAATCCTTGGGTTCTTGAAATGCGCAGGCGGTGAAGGAGGCACCGGGAAGGCGCGAGGGAGGCCACGGGAGTCGCCCAGACCGGCGGAGGAAGCGAGAAGCCGCAGAGAGGACGAGTTTGTTGGGTGATACACATCTTACGCTCGGTACGGGGCCCGAGCCAAGTGGAGCAGCCTGGAGATGACGGCGAGAGAACCAGAAGGGCGTGGCGCGGCCCTGCTTAGTCAACCCTTTGGAGCCACGCGACCTTCGTCCTTACGCCCTCGCTTCATAGGGACGACTGATAAGGGCTTCGCAAATGGCAAATAGGTCCCTCTGGAACTCACTCCGCGATACAAGATGGCGCGAGAAGTTATCGGGATGAAACGGCGAACGGAAGCTGCAGATCACGACAGGATATGGAAACCAAGTCGATGGAGGAAATTACTGTATATCTCTAAGTCAAAATCGCACATATAAACCGAAACAGAAATATTTACAATAACATCCCATCATATGATATTAAACGTTTTTATATGCGTATCATACGAAGAGAAAATATTTTTTTTCCCTCAAAAGCAACGACAAAAAAAAGTGCTATCGAATATTGACAAGGAAAATATACGATGAAATACTGACCTTCATAAAGATTTTACAAATGGTCCGATTTACAGATTTTTTCCCTGAAAGATAATTGTCAGGTAGATGAAACCATCACAATGACGATGCATTTTATGTTTCGTACATAAAGTTCATTTCATTGTTTACAACTGATTCCCCATTTGTACTCTTCAAAGTTTTTTTACATTCTATTTTTTGTCTACAACTTAATTTTCCTCTCGTACTCTCTTTATGATTTATATGTATTTCAACTTTTCAATACAATACTTTTCAATACAATACAGTATTTTGCAATACAATTTTCCTGTATTCTCAAAATTGATTCACACCAAACGTTCTTTTTCCTTTTTTATCGCGCTGTAGGCAGAAAATACACCTATCATACAATACAGTAATACAACAGCGACACACGTAGCTACATTTGTACATTTAGGCCTTATTAGTCAAAATAACACATCATCGTGAATATAGATCGTGATTATGATAATGCTATTAATTTTCCTATTGGAATGTTTATCTGAATGCGGATGTTGAATTACCGCGAAGGTCTGTGATAATGGATACATATAATTGGTAATGATAATTTATGAACATGTCAACCCGGAAGGAATAGTTAATCGTACACATACACAATGGTGCACACTAGCATATACATACACACAAACACACACGCATACATATACACAGGCGAAAAAACACACGTGAACACTTACAAATATACACATTAAGATATACATGCGCCCTTACACATACATACATGTACAAACACACATCCACACATACACACACAATCACACAGATACACACGTACACAGACACACACACACAGACACACACAAGCACAAACAGACGCAGACATACACACGTACACATACACAGCTAAATGTCATCATAGACACAGACACACATACACACACAAACACACGCACACATACACATGTACACATACACACACACACACACAGCTAAATGTCATCATAGACACACAGACACACACAAACACACACACACGACAGTGAAACGACCCACTCAACAGTGACAAAATACACCGATCTGAACGCTGTGAGAATCGCCAACATATATATCATCTTAAGATCTCGTATTTCTGCGACCTTGGAGACACTTACGACCCAACACAACAACCTCAACTTTCTACCTACACAGAAGCCCCTCCGATGCCGCCAGAGATCTAGCCAAGTGTCATCATAATCATCATTTAGAATCGAAAAAGGGGGGGCTGTTTTTTCGACTATTCTCTGAAAAGGTTATAATTCGTTCGACTTTGCCGGGTTTTTTTAAAATAGGATTTTATAATTTAGTCCTTTTTTTCATTATAATTGGCCGAGAGGAAGTAATGCTCGGTACACCCGCACCGAAGACAGATTTCGAGGAATATCACACTTTTGGAGTATAAGCTTTTTTTTTCGAGAATGACCTTGAGACAGACGAAAATTCCCTGACACAAAGGGAGGAACTTCGAATTCCTCGTGGGTCTGTGTAAAAAAAGAAGAAAAAAAAGAAGAGAGAAAAAAAGAAAATAAAAGAAGAGAAAAGAAAAGAAGAGAGGAGAAGAGAAGAGAAGAGAAGAGAAGAGAAGAGAAGAGAAGAGAGGAGAAGAGAAGAGAAGAGAAGAGAAGAGAAAAGAAGAGAAAAGAAAAGAAGAGAAGAGAAGAGAAAAGAAAAGAGAACAGAAAAGGAAAATAAAAAATAAAAAAAAGAAAATAAAAAAAGAAAAGAAGAGAAAAAAATAAAAGAAAAGAAGAAAAAAAGAAAAAAAAAGAAAAAAAGAAAAACAAAACAAAACAAAAGAAGAAGAAAAAAGAAAAAAAAAGAGTATATATAATCTTTTTTCTTCTCTTCGTAGGTAAATCCGGGTTAATATCCCCTCGTTCGCGTCCATTACGTTATCGGGAACACCGTCAGTCCGAAGGGAAAGTCCCGGGGGTGGGGGGGGGGGGGAAGGGAGACCGCCCGTGGGTGGAGGCTTGCTGGGGAGGGCGTGTCTCGGGAACCTTCCCACGCCCACAAACCTCACCACTCTCTCTGTGGTATTTTTCCTTTTTTGGTTTTATTTCTTCCTTCTCTAGCTTTGTTTTGATCTACTTTATCTATATGAATTATTGCTTTTATTCACATTTATTAATATATACGCCTTTGAAAAAAAAATTGAAAACCTGAAAAAAAAGAAAAAAAAAAAAAAATGATTTTAAACTTGTTTTAAATTTTTTTTGATTGATTTGATAACCGAAATTATTACTTTTATTCATTTTATTAATAGAAGGTGATAAGGCGACTTTCAGGGAGTTATTTACGTATAGTATCTATCTGGCCGATGAAATACGCGTTGTAACGTCGTACATAGGTCTGACAGATTATAGAAAAGTTGTACGAGGCGGATGTGGCATTGAGTCAGTTGCCAGGGCCGGAAATGATTACCTAATTCATATAATTTAATCTAATAACCG